GGGTGCTGAGGAGCCGCTTCTGCCCGTCCCCCGAGCGCGGCAGGAAGCAGGACGCCCGCGCCAGCCGGGACATTCTCGGCCGGGCCGCCCCCGCTTCGCCCCGCGCCGCTGGAGCCCCGCGCCTGCCTGCAGGGCCGGGGAAGGGGCGCTGAGCCCTTCTTCGCCCCCCCTGGCTCAACCCGGGCGGCCGGAAAGCGGGGATTCCGGCGATTTCCTGCTCGGGCTTCGGGCGAAGCAGCCTGCGCCAGCCCATCCCACGTGGTCGGTGCATGGCCGGGCTGAGCAGGTCATTGCAGTGAAGCTGCCGCGCAGAGACCCTTTCGACAGAGAACGGAGAAGTGCACCAGAGGGTTGGGCAAACTGCGTCTTTCTTTCTTGGGGCAGTGTAAGAAGAATTTCCTGACTTAACTGCAGGCTGGACTGCCAGCAGCAGCAGGGCTGAACTCCGTGAGGCCACTGGATGTCTCTTGTGGATGCTGGACCTGGTGACCACCAGCCTGCGGGAGGGGCTGTTTCTTGCTGCTCTTCCTGTCCGGTAATCGATGCTGATACCTCCTGAGCAAGAGTGGGGGTGGGGGGCAAAGAGCTCCTTAAATCGATCGACGTGGAATTGGCATCAAAAGTTAAGCGATTCTGGGGAGAGGGATGGACGGGGCTGCACATCTCCCTCCCCTGGCCTCTTACTGTTCCGTGGGGCAGTTTAGACAGTGAGGGAATAGTTAAAATGGCTTACGAAAAGCGGTCTTTTTTCTTGCTTGCTGATTATTCCCAAAACCCAGTTTCATGAATGGAAGTGCTGGTACTCTACCTTTAACAGACGGAAGAGCCCTAAGCCTGCCCCTGAATGGTCCAGAGGAAGAAAGGGCCAAATAAACTGTGATCAACAAGCCTCAAATGTCTTATTTCCAACTTTTTTCAGTAAACCCCAACTGAATTCATGCCCCAAATGTTTCCACGGGACAGGAGCAAAAGCGGGAGCCTTGCAAGGGTGGGGAATGGAAGGCTCCGAGGAAGGCCTGGCAGTGCTGGGATGGCAGCCGTTCAGGGCCTGCTCTCGTCATCCTGGACAAGGCTGGCAGCTTCCCACAGACAAGCACGCATATCTGGGGAGGGGGCTTGGCTGGGAAGAAAAGTGTCCCAAGCTGATCTGCAGCACACGCCTGGCTACCCAGCACGGTTGTTTCAGGGCCTCCCCACTTGGATTAGCAGCAAACGAGAGCCCCGAGATGGGCTCTCCCTGTGACCTCTTCCTTTTCCTGTCTGTCGTGATTCTGTTCCGAGCCCCTGAGCAACACTGCTCCCCTGCTAATGCAAGAGCGAAGGGGCTGGCTGGGTTCTCTTCAGCAGGTCATCAGCCACAGAAAGACAATCGGGCAGTCCTGGCCCTGCAGTGGGAAGGGGGCATGCCTTCCTGGGCCCCTCCCCTCCCCCTCTTCTTTGTACCCAACTTGAATCATGTGTTTTAAAAAGCACTGGGGTCAAAAGGGGCTGGGTCATAAGCAGGCAAGCGGGGCGAGGGTCTCACTATTTTAGTTATGCCGTTCAGCAACCAGACTCTTTCAGGCTTGTGCTAAACTGATATGGGCCACAGAATTGGCTGAGCAGCGTAGCATGACTCAGCTGGGGATCCATGGCTAGGCTTGGGGGTGGAAAGCAGAACAATGGTAGGCGAAACGGCCAAGTGCCTCCCACCACGAGGTCATTTGATGAGGCCGTCCTTGCCTGGTGTGGGGACGGGGGGGGGGGGGGCACAGCCTTACCAGAAGGCCAAGGCGATTGGAGTCTGTCTCACTCCAGGCGGGGGGCACAACCACGTAAAAACGCCCGTAATGCGGATAAGCGGCAGCAGAGGAAGGTGCTCAGTCTCAAAGTCCCACAATGTG